AGTGTGCGTGTGTGTAATATTGGAGGAATCGAGACTTTTCTCATACAGTATAAGTTACGCTGGACTGGTCATGTCTTGAGAATGTCTGAAGACAGGATACCCAAGATCCTAATGTACAGCCAGTTAGATCAAGGCTACTGGAATGTAGGACGGCCATGGCTAAGATACAAAGACAAGCTGAAAAGCAACTTGTCAGCTGTCAATATACCACATAACACCCTTGAGCGCTTAATGTTGGAGAGGGTAGTATAGAAACCAACGTGTTATAGTGGATTCGGCAGTTTTCAATCTGCATGTCTGAATCAACTTCAAGAAGCGAGAGCAAGATCTAAAGGGTCAGCCAATCTAACAGTGATCACATCTCACAATCCACACTTTTCTATGCATGCGGCCTCCTTTTTAAATCACTAGCGGGTTTAAGTGCCACTTACGATTATCGCCCAACTTTTCATAACTGAATCAATTAAGATGTCAGATCCTCATACGTCGAAACCGACGGGAGATTCCATTATATATATATATATATATATATACATATCACCAACTGGCAAGTGGTAGCAGTTATGGCTTTTGTCGGAAGGAAAAGTTGACGATAGCAACATATATTGACAGCCATGTGTTGTTGAAATGCAAGAACGGAGATAATATCTAAATGAAGACATACAAGTAAGAATGTTCTCGGCTTGAACGATCCCGGAGAAAGAAAAATAATAATTTTGGTTTATTTTTTCTTTTGTCTTCTTCTTAGCTTACACCTCATCCTCTTCTTAACTTCCGGTGGCGTAGTATGATTATAGTGTGTGGTAATATCCGGTGTTTGTACATCTTTTATTATATTGGCTTGCTCGACATGTGTGTTTTTCAAAGCGATTGCATTGAGTTCTTTATTATACAGAGGGACCTCAGTTCTCGAACGTCTCACGTGTCGAACAAATCGGTTTTCGAACAGAAAATTTCAGAAGAAAATGCCTCGGTTATCGAACAAAATTTCGATTCTCGGACAACATTGCTGAACCGAGTTAACCCGAACGAAATCATTTCTGAATCGACCGCCGTGTTGTATATATTCGTATGTCGTTTTGTGCCTTTTTTTCCAATTTTATTCTACCGCGACTTTTTTTTCTACATTCATTCCTATGGAAAATATAGTTTCAGTTTATGAAGATTTCGGCTTACAAGCGGCTTTCAATAACGAACTAAATTCGTGAACCAAGATTCCATTGTAGGTCCGTTTTTTGGGTACGGTAGTTTTTCTGGTCATTTAACATATTTTTGCTTTTTGCTTTCTTCTCTCTCTCTCTCTCTATCTATATATATATATATATATATATATATATATATATATATATATATATGTATAGTGCAACTTCGGTTATCGAACATCTCACATGTCGAACAAATCGGTCTTCGAACAGAAAATTCTAGATGAAAATGCCTCGGTTATCGAACAAAATTTCGGTTCTCGAACAACCAAACCGACTTAACCCGAACGGAATAATTTCTGAGTCAACCGCCGTCTTTTATCCATTCTTGTCTTGTGTTGTACTTTTCTATTCCAATTTTATTGTACTGTGACTTTTTTTACTCTATATTGATTCCTATTGGTAAAATAGTTTCAATTTACAAACATTTCGGGTTACGAACGGTCTTCAAGAACGAAATAAATTCGTGAACTAAGGTTTCACTGTAGTTCCTTTTTGGTACGGTAGTTTTTCTGGTCATTTAACATATTTTGTATATATATATATATATATATATATATATATACAGTGTAACCCGGATATAAGAGAGTTGTCGGGACCGGATAAGAAGTCTCTTATATCCGGGTTTCTCTTATATCCGGGTTTTCTTATATCCGGGTTTGGTCTATTTTATATACATTAACACAGGCTCTAAATTGGGACCAGAGAAAATCTCTCATATCCGGGTTACACTCTATATATATATATATATATATATATATATATATATATATATATATGTTTGTGTGGGGGATGTTTAAAAGATATATGCAAATTTTTACATCCTCCTCTTTCACCAGAGCCTTTTAGACGCTTTTTTGTGTGGATACTTAAAAGCTAAATTCTATGTTCCAATGCCAGCAACAATCGCTAAAATGAATGTTACCGTAAGATAAGAATGTAACCAAATACCTATCGAAATTTTGCTTACTACTTATGATTCCATTGCGTCATGTTGTCAGCAATGTCTAGATCAAAGACTCCCAATGGGGGTTCCAAGGAAACCAGCGGTCTACAAAGGAGTGTCTGGATTTTCGTGACAAAACTTCAGAGGAATACATTATTTAACAACACATTATCAAGGTTGGTAAATAATTTCTAAATATATATATATATATATTTGCCAACAGATTTAGATTGTTTTATAATGTTGTGATGTATCTTGTAATACATTTTCTATATCGTATATCAGTGAATGTTAATTCTAAAATGCTATTGCTGAATTGAAAATTAGTTATTGATTGTGATATCCACTGTGTACTATGACACCACATAAAGTTAATTTTCTCGCCATATTGGAAAAAGCTCTGGCTGTTAATTGACTTTTGTTGACGTATCATTCGTGTGTATACATTCCAGTTAGAAAAAAAAAACCACTCTACTTATGCGAAAGTGGATTTTCCTGTTACACTGCCATAAAATATAAATACCGAAGTAGATTTAATCCTGTATAAAGCCAAACATTTAAAACTTATGCGACAATATGAAACGGAAGCATTGTTCATATAAAATGTTCCAAAAAACTCTGATTTCGTAGGAAATAAATTTCATGTTGGCAATGTTCTTAATTCTGTTCCACGTGTTATTTGTGAAAAGTATTAAAATTCTTTGAAAAAAAATCACGTTTTTTGTGAAAGATATATATTAATATGTATTATTTTTTTATTGCTTTTGGAACGTAAATATTATTTATTAAAGTATATGAAAATATTTATTTTACAACCATTTAAAACTATTAGTATCTGGTTTGGTTTGGTTTGTTTTACTCAATGGATTATTTAATGCCGACCAGATATTTATTGCTGGTAATATTTTTTATCTATCTATCTATCTATCTATCTCAGTATATATTGGTTTGTTTTGTTTTGTTTTACGGCATATCAACCTCAATGCGTTATTTAATGCCGACAATTTTTATTTTTCTGCTAATATTTTTTTTCAAAAAATGTATAGCTGTTAATATTTTCTTCAAAGCAGTATAACAGGTAAATTTTTTCAGAAATGTACTGCTGGTAAAAAATTTTTTACAAAGTATTTCTGGTATTAAAACCTATTTACATTTTCATAGTGTTTTAACCCCAGTTTGGGGGTTAAATATTTGCCCATAGCTGGGACCCTAACAGGTGCTACCACCCCGGGTCAGGGTGGGCCTGTGAACACCAGCAATTAAGAGGTGGTTCCACGCTCCTCAAAACCTCCTGAGCAGAGGCCTTGCTGCTGGACATATTTTATCGTCTTACCCAGAACGCGAATGTAGTTTATCGTCTTACTCAGGACACGGATGTAGTTTATCGTCTTACCCTGGACGCGGATGTAGTTTATCGTCATACCCATACTCTCGAAACAGTTAAATGCAACCGCCTCTTCTACTCCAAGAGCTTCTTCTCTCGCACTTCTCGACAGTGGAATTCCCTTCCTTTTACTTGCTTCTCTGATAGCTATAATCTTCAAATATTCAAATGTAATGTCAATCAATATCTTCTGATGCCATGATCTTGATCCACATCCTTCTATTTTATCCTTTCATCAAAAAACCTATCTTTACTCTTATTTTCACTCTCCTTGCTTGCTAATGGCACTTCCGCCTTGCTTGGGATGAAATGCTTATATATATATATATATATATATATATATATATATATATATATATATATATATATATATATATATATCCATCTGTGGCATTTATTTGCACCGACTGAGTGTATCAATAGTTCCGAAAATTGTGGATGGTTCTGCACAAGCTTTCATCACTTTAATCAAATAACTTGTGTGGGTTTTCTGGCGATTTACCTTGATTCGTTCATTCTTATTTTTTTGCTTGTCTGAATCATCTTCAAGAAGCGAGAGCAAGATCTAAAAGGTCAGCCAATCTAACAGTGATCTCGTCTCACAATCCTCACTCTTGCTCCATATGCGGCCTCCTTTTAAATCATTAGCAGGTCTTATGTGCCACTTAAGATTATCGCACAAAATTTCATTACTAAATCAATTAAGCTGTCAGATCCTCATACGTCGAAACCGACGGGAGAGTCCATTATATATATATATATATATATATATATATATATATATATATATGGGGTTTGTATTATCACTTAAGCGTGATGTTATTTTTCAGTTTTGAATTTATTTGTTGTCGAGTGACTGTGATACAAATATGGATACTGAGAATTTAAATACATGTTCTACTGTTTATTTGAAAATCATGAGCGATTTTGTTGTTTGCGGGTTTTTCTTTTGACGAAATATGGATAGCTTCTAAAATCTGTAATATGTGGTCGCAGTTTATTTTGCTGTGCGTCATTGTATTGTTGCCTAGGAGGTACCTAACATTTTTGTAATTTTCATGCTTCTGTATGACGTGTTGTATAACACTATGATGGAATTACAACACGTGTGTCTCCGCGAAAGAGTTGTGTTTGTATATCCTATTTAATAATTTTTTTTTAGAAATACAATCTCTAATAGGGCTAATGAATAACATTCGTCTAATATATGAGATTTGATGTTAATATGATTCATGACGAATAAGAACGTTAAACGTGTTTGTAATAGATAATGAATAAAAATGTTTGTCAAAACAACTTGTGAAAATCAATATTATCCTGCAAAGCCAATTATAGACAAAGATTACATATCTTTGAAGGTATTCAGATTGAGTCAAAAACACCAACGTGCAAAAATAAAAAAAAAACTTATTATATTGGAATATTGACTGTAAACGCATTTAAATATAAAGTAAAAGCTGGAAATACAATGCAAGAGAATACAGACAAATATCTATTCAGTGCAAAAGTACGATGGCAAAACTAACAAAAAAGAACATATCATAAAATAATCATTTTATATAGGATATACAACCACAACTCTTTCACGTAGATACACATGTCATAATTTCGGGCTACACAAATGAAACAAAAATATTTAAAAATGCAATAAGACTGGTTGTGAATGACAAAGTAATACACAACAAAGCAAACTGTAATAAAAATCGTTTAGGATTATGGAATAGACATTCGTGAAAGTATTTAAATTCTCAGAATGCACTAGGTTATGGTCAGGTTGAAGTATAAATTTTCAAAACCCGATATAATATATATATATATATATATGCGTATTAGTATTGGGCCAGATTAATAACATCTATCTATCTATCTATCTATCTATCTATCTATCTATCTATCTATCTCCGTTCCTATCTATCTTGCTAGCTAGTTAGCTATCTATTTTATCTAAATCAACCTGTTCCTTCCTTCCTTCCTTCCTTTCTTCCTTCCTTCCTATCTATCTATCTATCTATCTATCTATCTATCTATCTATCTAAATTTGTTCGTATCTATCTAGCTAGCGAGCTAGATAGCTATCTATTTTTTTATTCTATCTCTTTAAATCAACCTGTTCCTTCCTTCCTTTCTTCCTTCGTATCTCTGTCTATGTATCTCATCCTGTTCCTATCTATCTATCTATCTATCTATCTATCTATCTATCTTAGTCTGATCATATTTATCTATTACTTGACCTCTCCAATATACAAACTCATGTACACCCATCATATAGACTAACATACACACCCCAACACATTTGGACTCACACCCTTACACGCACAGACTTGCTTCACATAAAATATTTGGAGAAGCACGCACACTTACAAAAACACACTAACAAACATTTAGACGCATAGAATTGCTCGTATTTGCAAAAATAATATATTCAGACACATACAAACACAGTAACAAGCTTACATGCAGACTTGTAATGCGAGCATAAAATATTTGGACACACACAGATACACTTTATACGCCTAGACTTGTAATTGTAAATATAACATATTTAGACACAAACATACACATATATCTTGGAGAAATAATTCTTCTGCCTAATATGAGAGCGGTGACGGGAGTAAGTAATCTTTTGCGCGTGTGTAAAAAAAAAAAGCAATCATCTTTTTCCCCGTGTTTTTGAAATTTAATCATCCAAACAGACTTCGCTCAGACAGTGCGACTGACGACAGCTCTTTGTAAATATTGACTCTTTTCTTTCCCTTTTGTTCTTGACAATCGTGACCATTGTTAAGCTAAAGCCTCTCCATTTCGTCATCTTTTCTCCTTCCCAGAACGCAAGCACGCCCGCCATATTTTTTGTTTATACGCCATTTTTAATGCGTACTTGATAATTGCAAGAGATTTAGTCGCGCCTAAGAGTTAGCCATTTTTAAACGGTGTAAACTAATGCCAGTAACTCTTTTTTTTTTTTTAAAAAAAACTTTCTTCTATTTTTTTTTTTTTTAAGGCAGATTGAACATTATTAGTAAGACAATTGCATTGAAAGCTCGAGTGACAGAGGAAAGGTTTCAAAGATAGGAAATCTGAGGTTTTTAACCCAAAGAACGAGATTTGTATCTTTTGTTAACATGAAGTCATAGCAAACTTTAAACTTTACACAGCATTGATCCTAATCAGTAATGGGATGAGTGACTGTTTCACTGTCTTTGTGTTGAACTAAGCTAATATTATTAAATATAGAATATCCAGCCGTAGACTTACTGTAAAATCAAGCCTGAAACATCAGTTCTCGTCTAATTACGGAAGTTAAACAGCGTTGTACCTGGCCAGGATTTGGATGGGTGATTGCTAATGAGTACCAAGCGCTGTTAGTAGCTAATTCTTTGTTATAGGAAGCCAGTAGTGTGACATATCGAATATCACGGTTAAATCAAGATTCTAGTCTAGTAATCAAAGGTAAGATGTTGCAGTATTGAAATGAAGGACTTCTTAGGCTCGTTAGGTTGTTTAAGCGGCTAACGCTTTTGTGCCGTAGTGTATTAGTATTATCTCTATATATAAAACAGAGGATGTCTGTATCACTGTGTGACACCGTTTTCACTCGAGATCCATCCAAATGATTTTGATTAAACTTGGCACAGACATTATACAATGTAAGAGATAGGTTCCTAGCGTAAAAAAATCGATAAATTAAAAAAAAAATCAGTAATCGATAAAGCCAATCAAAAACCGATAAATTTAACTTCCAAAATGAACTTAAATTAATAAATAAATTTAATAAATGAATAAATAAACGGAACATCTACTCAAATACGGGTATTCACTAAAAATAACGTTTAAGTAATAAAATCTGTCCGATTAATAAATAAAAAATTACTTTTTAGAAATTGTATATATATATATATATATATATATATATATATATATATATATATATAACAGAGGATGTCTATGTGTCTGTCTATATGATATCATTTCACTCGAGATCCATCCAACCAATTTTGACTAAACTTGGCACATACATTATACAATGTAAGAGATAGGTTCTTAGCGTAAAAATCGATAATTTTAAAAAAAATCGATTATAAAGCCGATCAAAATCGACAAATTCAACTTTTTTTCTCCGATTGCGTTCAAATTCAGTATGTAGTTTACTTACATCATGACGAGCTCAAGGATACCTCATTTTTATTTCTACGCCACTGTGTTTAGCGAAAAACTTCGGAAAACGAAAAATCGATTTGAACACAAATCAATTTCAATATAAATTTTAAACTAAAAACTCCCTCAATTTTCAATCAGTCTAATGCAAACTTCACTCAATTGTACCCAACAATAAGTTGATTGTTTAAAAGTCATTTAACTTGATAATTGAGTCCACACATATAGTGAAAACCGCGTAAATAGCGAAAAATGGCGATTTTTACTGGTTTCTTTTTTATTTTTCGTTGATTTATCAACCAATTTTCATCAAACTTAACAATTGCTTTATAAATTTATCCTCATTTATATCCCTGGTAGCACATTTAGAAAATGAATTTCAAAAACTCCAAAATAATTGTGGTCTGAAGTGTGTCTTCATGTTGCCTGTTTTAACCCTTCATGTCCTCTGCTAACTTCGATTGAATAAATACAGACTACTTCTGTTATATCAGTAACTGCATTAATTCAAAATGTTTATTTTAATGAAAGTACTTTAAAGTAATTGAAGAAGATAGACACTGTTACATCTAAACATGATGCTGTTTTTGCTCCATTCTAATTGAATGCTTTTTCTGATCGACCAGCTGCGTATTGCTGCTAGTTCAATAAATAATTACATTCCTTTGGTTTGCAGTAAAATTAAGCTGAAATCGTTGGGTCGAGTTTGATTAGCAAAACTAAGCAAAGTCGCTGTTAGTCGGAATTTAGAAGGGTAACTGCTGTAGAACCTCAAGCTGTTTATGTTGCTATAGTTTTTTTTGTATCGTAAGAAACTAACATTATCAAATATCGAACAGCATTGCCTTGTTATGTTAACGTTGGTTAAGTCAGACTCCTTTTTGTATTAATTTTCACCCAGTGCAAGGCTCAAGAGCCACTCAGGGTAGAGTATTACTATGTGGTGTTGTATGAGCTTAAGTAAAGGCAAGAAGTGAAGTGAATAAGGCGATACAGGAAAGATAAGAGTTTACTCTAGACTTAAAGAGGGAAAGATTGTATTGTCTGGAAAAAAAACATCCTGTTGGGAGTCTGTTCTTGGGAAGAAACTGTCCAAAAAGAACTTCCTCCTTACTAATGGAATACGAAAGGATTGCGGATGATTCATACTTGTGTACGTGGCATGGTGGTTGTAAATGTCAGGGACGCTGAGACTAAGGAATATATCGAGTCAGAACTCATCCCATGGAAGTAGCTATCGAGTAGGGAGAGGCTTGCAAATATTCGTTTGTGGGAGGGTTTTATAAGATGGAAAATAATACAACACCCACAAGCCGGCATAGACGCTTTTGAACCCCATAGTAAGTAGTGGGTAGCTCCAGCCCAGATATGGAAACAATACTCCATTTCTGGTCTGTTCTGGATCTTTAAAGATAAAATATAGTTAAGTCAGATAAAATTCATTAAGCAGCTAAGAAGGATAGGAAATTGTGGAGAGTTATGATCGCCTACGTCCTGTCAGTGACAGTGTTCCACCGCGAATGGGGAATGTATTCCAGCTCTGTAGTTACTATGATAGTGACTATGTTCAAAGTAGGGATGTGAATCTGTGATGTATAGCTGTATCTTGATGAATGATATGTTTGATTGTGTTCCTTATTACTTATATAATAAAACAAATTGCATTACTTTTTGAGTCATCGTTCTATCTATCTATTTATCTATCTATCTATCTATCTATCTATGCATGTGCATGTGTGTGTGTGTGTGTGCGCGTGTGTGTGTGCATACTGGGGGTAACAGCAAAAGTGTCCAAATTGAGTAACAGCAAAATTGTCCTAATGTTAAATTAAGATTTGAACCGTTGTATCTTAGAAATGATTAAAGATATTTTACTGAAATTTTCTGTGGTTTTTATAACGCTATTGGAATGTACTTTGGGCAGTAAGAATATATAATTACGCTCCAAGCTTAACAGAAGGATCAATCATAAAAGAAAATGACGTTTATTATTAATTCATAATAGCTAAGGATCGGAAGAACCACATAAAGTATTGAAATAAATTTCATATATATATATATATATATATATATATATATATATATGTGTGTGTGTGTGTGTGTGTGTGTGTGTGTGTGTGTGTGTGTGTTGTGTATTCCAGGAAGATTTTCCAACTTATTCATGATAATCTTTGCCCTCTCTAACCTTCTAAGTTTCTGTCCTGGAGTATCAAGGTCCCTCACAGTTTCACAGTTTCACTTACGATTTCATTTTCTTTTCTTACTGCTCTTTGGACTATTATAGGAAACCCCTTTCTGAGCTATGGTCAGAAAGGTAGATGAGAAATTGTATAAAAAAACTAAATCAAAAGCATCTTTGTCTGCTGCATTCAATGAAATGTGCATGAAAGGTAAGGATTGCTACCAAAAAATACACACACACACGCACACACACACACACACACATATATATATATATATATATATATATATATATATATATATATATATATATATATATAAAGGTAAAAATACAACAGGAAAACTATATTATTAGCCAACGCGTTTCGTCCAATGTGATCTTTTTCAAGGCAAAAATGTAATGAATTTATTAAAATATTAAAAATAAAGTAACTATTAACAACAAACAAAATGTCCTTAGCAACTATAAAAATTTAAAAAACGCTATTGTATTCATATTGTCAACTGAAAATTATATCATGTACTTTCCCGTGTAGAAATTTTGTTTTTACTGTTGTAAAGTCTTTCTTTTGATTTCCTGACGTAATTTTTTTGCCATATTCAGGACGTTTCGGCCGTTGTACGCTCCGGCCTTCTTCAGTCGATTGGAATTTAGAACTGAACCCTTTATTTCGTCCAGCGGGGTAGATTGTGCTATGCCTCTTCCGGATGTCTCAGTTGTCTTCCTTTAACTCAACTCAACTGCATTGTTCACCACTGCAGTAGCCAGGTATTGAACTCATAGCTCCTTAGGTGAAGTCACTGAATCCAACGACCGCTTTTATCCACTGGGCCATGTGTTCTGAAGAATAACTCATCTCAGAAATATAGACAGACCCTGAAGAAAGCCGGAGCGTACAACGGACAAGACGTCGTGAATATGGCAAAGGTGAATACAACAGTCCGAACAATGTAAATAGTGTAAATAATTATAATACCTCATCTCAGAAATATTGACATATCCTGACGAAGTGTACAACGGCCGAAAAGTCGTGAATATGGCAACAAAGATGACGACAACAGTCCGAACAATGTAAATAGCTTAAATAGTTAAAATATCTCATCTCAGAAATATTGACACATCCTGAAGAAGGCCGGAGTGTACAACGGTCGAAAAGTCGTGAATATGGCAACAAAGATGACGACAACAGTCCGAACAATGTAAATAGTGTAAATAAATAGCTCATCTCAGACGGGTAGTTTTTATTCATATTAGAAGTGTTGGCCATTTTTTCCTTGGGCAGATGATTACCATGAACAGAAATAACTGTAAATAGAACGTGATTCTTGTTCGTGTTTTTGTGTGTGTACATGTATGTGCATATGTCTCAGTGAGGGAGAAATTGTTAGTTACCATTTCAGGCTGTTATAGTAGAACACACCTATTCTATAGTTAATAGCCTCCCCCATCTATAATAAGTAGGAGTAGTAAGAGTAACGCAGTCGCTCAGTGGGTTGGTCTGAGTTCAGTCTGAAGTCGGACGACCGGCTGATCGGTTGAACTCTCCGAAGGGCGGAGTCTCTTTCGGGGAGGTAAACCGACCCTGAACCCGTTTATACGGGTTTTAAAAGGGCATATTTTTGGCCGAGCCCACGCGCTCCGAGATTCGACGTTAAACCGGCCTTGTGCCACATGATGCCCTCGTGGGGGGGGGGGTGACTGAATACCGCTCAGTGGGTCGTTCAGTCAGTCGATGTCGGACGACCGTTAGTCGGATACTAAACTATCAGCGACCACAACTAGATTTCTCTGCGTTATACCTATTATATCAAGTTCCTAACGTTTTGTACGTCGAACCTATTTTAGGGCCGACTTAGTACAAATACAAGACTCCACTGTGAAACCATTCCATAACACAGGCCGAGCACGCCGCCATGTTTCTTACCAGATAGACTCTGTGGTTGCGTTTGCTTCCTTTTTTATGGAAGAGCGCACATTGCTGGTGAACCGGAAGTTATCTGAGAATGGACTATAAACTGCCTTGAGGAATCGCAGTGTGTAGTCAGAAGGATAGAAAAATTGTAGTTAATGGAAGGTACACAAGTCACTACCTGATCAGTATCGGCAGGGTCACCGTGGAGAGACCGCTGAAAGACCCGAAACCCCTAATGAACCTCGGCCAGAAACATCACTGATGAAGTGTATGAAAGCATCCAATAGATGTATTTTAATAAATACATAGAATATATACACCCAAGCTGAATTGCACCGTCGTGGTTAGGGTTCGAACCACGATCTCCCGACAGTTTGGTAGTATATTGTGAAGTTTAAGTAGTGACTTTTTGATGTAATGTATATGCATACACCTGTTTTTCCCCTCACAGTAATATGATTGGCTGGTGTCAGCCATAAATACAGACTGATGTGGAGGTATATGACGACGCCTATTGACTACGCCCTTTGCTTACCACTACGACAAGGACCAGTCCCTTTACGGTTACCTGCTTGATTGTCCTACTCGGTTGCAGTAGTCCAAAACCACTTTGCTACTTCGAACAAATATATCCCTTTCCGGGACATATCACTTCTAATGGTTTTTATTCGTAAACGCAGAACACCAGTCCTTAATATATATCTCTTGGCCGAGGTGAA